TTTTTCTATTCTTGAAGGGATGTTCCAAGTATAAATAAGAGAGGAAATAACTCTTGTAATCAGATTTTGAAGTTATAATATAATAGAGAGGTTTCTTCTCTTTTGTTCTTATGTAGAACTCTGAACTTATCAAGAAGTTTGTTCTTGTGGCGTTTAAATCAAAATTATCACTCACCTTCTTCTTTTTTGAGTGTGGCGTCTTTATCCTTCTTATACATTTGGTTCTTATCTTCCATAGATAACGGGTTAAGGTTCTTTATTTCTTGTTTTAAATTCCTGATTGTAGAAACGATCCTAACTAAATTGGTCTTGGATCTTGTAAGAACCAGCACCGTTAATTAAGAAAATTAATTAATTAAATATGTGAAATTAGGAAATGATTTCATAATTAACCCTAATAATTATTATGAGGCCTATATAATTATAGAAAGTGGTTAAGAATGGTGAAAGTCGCTTTTTGGAAGAAAAGTGCAGATACTGGTTCTGCTAGTCGGTATAAATGCGTACCAAAAAAGTACCCCGGAAAATTATAATAAGTGCATGATAATTCCTAGAATAATATATAGAACTTGTAAAACGAGTTTCAAGTTAAAATAATGAGAACTGGTGCCAGAAACTGATACTGGCTATGAAAAGCGCGTACTAGAAAGGTGCTCCGAAAAATATAAGAAAAATATAATAATTCTTGTAAAATTGAGTAGGTTAAGAATCCAAAGTTTGGAATTAAAATGCTAAGCGTAGCCATTAAAGCTAATAATGTGTGTTGAATACGTAAGTGGCTATAAATACTTTAATGATTGGGCACAAAATCCTAGAATCAGATTTCCTTCATGAAGAAGGCTGACCAGTTTCTCTAAGTCACTATTCCATTGGTTTTCTTCATCTTTGTGAGCCAAGTTGCCATCTTTTCTTGATTTCTTCACACTTCCTCTTTGTAAACACTTGGGTGTGGCATTGTGAGGGTGAGAAGTGGTCTTTTCTGGTTGTTCAGCTTCTGAGTTTTGAGTTTGAGGGCTGACTTTGTTGGTTTGAGTTGGTGGAGCCATAGTCATGGCATTTGGAGGTCTAAGTAGTGACCTTTGAGTAGAAAGAACCAACCTTGTGCACCATTTTCGTGTGCAGTGGAAGTCAGTACCTTGGAGCTGACTTGTGAGCTCCAAGAGTACCATTGTTGGGCTGTTTCAAGCTTGGGTAAGCTTCCTCACCCTTGATCTTGAGTTTAATGGGTTAAAGTTGATGTCTTGGCATGTTTAATGAGTTAAGCAAGTAACCAACAGTTGTAAGAACCTTAAGGGGCCTAAAAACGCATGCTTTAACATGTATAAGTGTAAAAAATGGAACCTTGGAAGGATATCTTCGCGAAATGCAGAAACTGCATTTTGTCGCGAAATATCTGGATATTTGATCGTGAAATATCCGGATATTGATATCCGGATATGGGGATCTAGATATCTGGATATTGATATCCGGATATGCCCATGAGGAATATCTGGATATTCTGGGATTTTGAAGAACAGTAGCTGCACTGTTCATATAGTAGGCTATTGGGGGTTTGTGGACCCTAGAGTGATGAAGTTGAACTTCTGTTTTAATTGAACTAAGTCAGAATCAAGTCATTAAGGGCTTATGGCTTTGTGGGAAGCCTTAAGACGTAAAACGTAAAAGGAAAACGTAGTCTTTATGTTTATGCTTTTGAGCCTTGAATGTTGATATGCTTGCTGGTCCTAATCAGATTGTGATCTGCTGTGTGTTGGACTTGAGCTGTGTGGACCCTTGGCACTGGATAGTGAGCTTGCAAGGTAAGCTTTCGTGTCCTCGGTTTAACCATGTTGTGGTTCCACCATGTCCCATGCGGGTATGGTTATATGCATGCTGTGTTACATGCTTTTGATGTTTTGGAAATGTTGTTGAGCTGTTATATGCTAGTGCCTTTATGATATGCATGTGGTGTTCCACCTATACGGTAAGCCTGAGTATGTGGTACATACAATATGGTGAGGCTGTGGTGAGGTGCAAGCGGTGTTCCTTGTACTACATGTAGGTATAGACGTATTCCTGCATTTCTCTGGCCAGTAGAATAGTATTGACACACATGGCATGAATATCTGTTGCACTGCATTGAGTTTGGAACTTATACTGAGTTACTGTTTTTAGAACTTATATTGCACATGTAAGTGAGCTTGGGGTGGAAGATCCTTGAGGACCTCTTGTCTTACTAAGATTTCTGGTGTAGAGGTCTCACCCCACGTTTGGGGAATGCTTATTTCAGGTTCAGGGAATGCAGGGGTTGAGACCTCTAGTGGCAGGAGGCCAGAACTTAGCTGATAGATGTTGCATGTTTATACTACTATGTTGATGCTGGATCCTGTTTACTGTCTTATGCTTTTAGCTTCAGTTTATGGATTATTATGTTGAGACTTGATTGATTATGTGGTTGGTTGGTGAGCATGGGGATTGTCCATGCCACATAGACTTGTTTATGTCTTGTTTTAGTGGGAGTTGTAATAATGTATCAGGACCGGACTACAGGTAGTAGATCCGTGACTTAGATACTCACATTTATATCTATATATGGAGGTATTTCAGTTAGATGTTTATTGCAATTTACATACAGGCGGTATTTTATGAAATTGATTAAGTAATCAACTTGGCTAAATATAATGACGTCATAATTGAAAAGAAAAAGATATTCCGCATTTTTGATTAAGCGCAGCTTAATACAATAGTTTGATAACATTACCGGGTATACACGGAGTGTTACAGATCTCACTATTCTTGGTGAAGTTCATATCAGTTATATTGAATCTGAATTTGTTGCAAAGTTCTGGACTTGCTTAGTAAGCAGTAAGCAAACTAATTTGGCAGATAAAAATTATATTTTGGGGTTTAGATATGGACTTTATAAGTTTTTAATTGGAACATAAGTGAACTTAAAATGTAAATACATAAATAAGGATTAAAACGAAATAAGCGTAAATTAAGTAAGTAAGCTAAAGAAGTTGTAATTGAAAACATAATTTAAAATGAGTTTGGTATACTCTACCAAAAAAAAGAAATTGAGTTTGGTATCCATTTCCCCTTCTCTCATCCATCATCAAGGGTGCTCAAAACAAATAAAAATTCGTTGCTCATTCAACTAATCAGTTTAACATAGAACAATATAAATAGCCATTGTTTTCCAACAAATAGCAAGATACATTCAGTTTTAGTAATCAGTCACATGTCTGTGATTTTGGGTGAACAATTATCAATTTGTATAACTTTACAATAATATTACTATTGTAGTCCGGATAATATTTCAGATATCCTAAAAATTCCTAACAAGATGAACTTTAAAGTAGTAATTTGACATTTCATGCTAAACAACGTAACAATGAATTGTTATGTATACCATAAGTTGAATTAACTAATGGAGAGAGATCTTAGGAAGATTTGCATGGTATGCGTAAGGCACAAGTGCGATTATGTTTCTTAACCCATGTTAACCTAGAGTGAATATGAATGCTTGAATTTAAAAGCTATACTTTAATTAACTCATAGTTAATTACTTATGGTTTCAAATATTCTGTGGATTGAGCTTCTTAAATTCAATTTTTTTAGAACTTTTAGTCATATGATATTGGTAGAACCAAACCTGAGCAATCTTTATTTTTCTCTCAAATTTATCTTATTTTCGTTTACTTAATCATGATTAGTTGTTTTAGTACAATTCCATTGCTTATTCTACATCTCCAACAACCTTTAAGTATGATCTTCACAATTGTCATATTTTTATTAATAGTTTGTTAAGGCAAAACTCTTTTAGTTTATCAAAAAATTATTTCTGCAGTCTGCAGATAAGTTATCTGCATTTACTTTCAAAATGACGTCGTTTTGGGATTGAAATATTAAAAAATAATTATTATAAAGACTATAATAACCCTGAAATAAATTAAAATTACAAAAATACCATGATTTCCACCCCATAACGACGTCATATTGAGCTTACTGCAGAAAAAGCGAACCCTTGGTTTATAACTTTGAACGATTATACACTTTCCTCCAAGACCTAGGTAAACCCACCAAGTAGGGGTGTACAAAACAATAAAATGAACCAAACTGAACTATGAATCGATCTGAACCACACTAAAAGAACCACATTATTTTGAACTAGTTCAAGAATCGAACCATTTTTTCAAAATCATTTTGGTTAAAAAATCGAACCACTTTATCAATTTGATTTAATTCGGGCTAAAAACCAAATTGAACTATGCCCATTCTTAAGAGTGTGAAAAAACAAATGATATGAACCAAATTACAAACTAAACCAAATCGCGGCACATTTTTTCAAATCGATTTAAGAACCGAAACTATTTTGTCCAAACCAATTCAAAAACGGAACGAATTTTTTAAAAATCAATTTAGTTCAATACAGAAAACTAAATCGATCCATGCACACCAATGCACGCATAAATAACCATGCAAGTATATTTTCTTATTTTTTTCATTGATAAAAAATAAAATCAATATAAATTTTTATTATTATAATTAGTATCAGGACAAATTCATTTAAATATTTACTGAAAACTTTTGCAATTTCACCCTTTTAAGTAGAAAGTAAAAAGTTGATTCTAAGAGTAAAAATCTGATTGACACAGTCAATACATTACAAAGCATACCGAAATAGAGAGGAGAATGTCGACTACATACATTGTGAATGCATAATTCCTAAGTTGGATGATAAGCATTATGCGTGATTTTTGGTTATTTTGCGTCTGCAACAAATAGTTATATTCTATTGCATGGGATAAGCTTCTACCCATGCAAAACTGTAGACTGGACACCCAATTAGTCTCTCGCTCTCCCTCTAGTTTTCCATTTATTATCAAACATCATACTAGCCTCTAGATGATAACTAATACTATTATCTTTTCTTTGAAAGACTAATTTGATAGCAAGCATGAAAGGATCAATTCTATTTGATATATTTATAAATGATGGCCCAATATATGTTACATACATCTTTTGAATACCTAATCCTTAGAAAGTAGGTATGAGGCGAGATAAGTTTACAACCTCCCCAGAAGCAAAGCATCATCAACGAATATGACACACAGCAGCAGCTATGAAAATTGACAGTGGCTTGTATAAGCCAGATTGCTGAAGCATGGGCAGAGTCCCTGAAGGAAGTGATTTGTAGTCCAAATGGAAAATAATATATGACCGCGACCAAAGTCACACATCAGTTCTTCTTCCTTTTTTTCCTCAAAAAGGGCATAGCACTAAAAGCTCCCGCGGAGGTTCCACTATTGTGATGAGCAATCTCTGGCGTCAAAACCCCCATGTCAGAATGATTACCAGCATTTAGGAGGTCATTATTTGTCTCTTTATTGAATTTAAAAGACGTCCCTTCATCCTGTATCTCATTTTCAGCTTTTTCAGCGCCAGAAAATAATATATCTGAACTACTTTTATCATGGTCAGTTTCGTCCAAAAATTCAGAACAGCTAGGAATGTCTGCAGTACAATCCAATGTAGCAGCAGTGTTGACATCATCAATTGCATTATGGTTATTACCTATCTCACTATCATCAGAACAAAATCCACCTCCCATTTTAAGGTAGCCATCAGAAGAGTCACGATCAAAGGAATTATCACGATTGCCAGTCCCTGGATGACTAGTTTCACCAGCATCCGTGCAAAACCAACCTTCTGACTCGAGAGAGTCTCTAGTCTCCTTTAGAGGTATACTGCTTTCTTTCCCTCTGCTGAAATCAGTTGCACCATCTCTACATGCTCCATGAATGTAAGATAATTTTTCTTCTTTTGGCTCTTTACGCAAGCATGTCTGATTGCTCTCATCAAATGAATCATCAGCATCAGCTTCTTCAACTTCAACATCCTTGAAAGAATAGTTGACAGCTTTCCGAGATCGCATTGACTGGACAGTACACAAAATGTAAGTGGAATCTTTAATTCTTTTTGCTTATTTTTGCAAATTAGATCACATTCAACCCCCTTGATAGCATACCGTTATCAATGTAATAGCAGAGCTTTTTCATTACTTTCTCTTTCTGGACAAATAAAATATGGTGCTTGTGTTTCTAAGATGTAACTGAGATTTATTGAAAGAGGAAAAAAAATCAAAAAACAAAAAGATTACAACAAAAATCAATCACAGAAATTTCAAAGGCTCTATTTATACTAATAAAAGGACAAACCCCAATGTACAAGGCTCCCCGACTTGCAAGGATAGGGGTGAGGGTTAACTATAAGCAACCTCACCCTTACATTTTTGCAAAGAAGTTGTTTCCTAGACTCAAACTCGTAACTTTTCGGTCACAAGAAGCAACTTTACCACTGTTCCAAGACTCCCCTTCAATTCCTATTTATACTAATAATAGACTAAAAAATCCTAATTAAATAAGAAAACAAGTAATGAAATATAAAGAAATAAGCAAACTAAATATTCTAAGATAAAATTAAGATATTACGAGCTATTATTCATATATTCTAACACAGAACTATGAATCTTTTCTTTTTCATTTATAATTTTCAGAGGGATAACATAGACATTTCACGTAGTTGATAGGATTGAGAAGCACCAAAGCACATCTATTTTTTATTATTATTATTATTAATAATGAAGAATAAAGGAAGGTCCTGAACAAAGAAATAACTTGAAGAAGCATTGTATCCCACGTATTCATGTCATAAATTAGAAGAATCATAATGAAGCTTACCCTTCGCAAATCTTTTGGAACTTCTGGCATATCAATATGCACTCTTAGTCCATGATCATCAGTATCACTACTACTTGATGAGGTTTCACGTGATTGAATACTAAGACTTTCCTTCTCCCTTCCTCTTATTACTCCCATACCTCTAGCTCTTCCTCTTCCTCTACCTCTGCTCCTATTCCAAATCAATGCCTTACCATCACATTGCTCTTCTTCTGTCTGCATACACGGCTGTAAATTCTCCACCACAGAAGGATCATCAGTGATTTTCTTTTTCTTTGATTGTGCCTTAGCAACAGTACCCCCATCATTCTTCCTTTTCCTTGACTGTTTCATTTTTGATTTCTTCCTAGCTTCAAGACTTTCCTCTGTACCCTTTGAAGGCTCCAATTTGTTATCCCCAGGTTCAACAGGACCTCCCTTCCCATTCTTCCTATCCTTGGACAAGTCCTCAGCAGAATGATCTATCAAATCCGATGGCTGCTTACCAGTAATTCCTTTTACAGCTTTTTTAATTCTCTTGCTGCGAATTTTTGCAAATCTTTCATTGAAACTATAAAATGCTTCCAACCGCAGTTGAGTCTATATTATAAGATTCAACCAATATCAGGATATTAATAATACGTAGGACTATTAAGAAGACAGAAGATAATCAACAAATAGGAAGCACAAGTATTTAGTGACCAATTTATTTTCATTCTTTAATACAATAAACATAACAATCAGTATCAGTAAAATCCGGGAGATCAATAAAACAGAGTCTCTAACCTCATGTTTGTTATATTCCTTTAAAACAGGTAATAGCAATTCATCTGCTTTCTGGCTAGTCCACATAAATTTCTCCCAGCACAATCTGTATACAGGAAGCAACTCAGAATATCATACAATATAGAAATACATATTCAAAACAACTTAAAGAAGTAGATTTAAAACATTTCAAAGGTGTGATCTATCATGTTCAGATTGATAACATGGATGGAAAAGCCCGGGCCAATTTCTGGGAAGACTGCTAGTTTATCAAGCTCTAATGATCAAGCATAGCACTAAGTGTTGACTTTAAAACTCCTCCAAAAGAACCGAAGCCGAAATATATAACAGATTACAAATCAAATTCATTAAGTAACAAAGTAGTACTCCAAAGAAGAATGAAATAGCTTAAAAGGAAACCTGAACTCCCAACTAACTCCAACCCAATAATAGCCAGGCACCACATGATCCTTAAAATACATACCAACAGTATTAAGCACCGTAAATTGATTTGTGAAAGCAAGAATAAAGCATAAACCTCCTTCCTGTGTTTAAAAGAGGTCCCTCGACCTAAGGGGGCAGCGGAAATGGGAATGTGAGGGATCCAATCTTTCCAATATAAGCAGTTGAAGAAGAGCACCGTTGTTAGCTCAGTGAATAAGGAGAAATGAGGGACTACCGGGACTATCTAATAAGAACTGGATCAGAAATGTTAAGAAACAGGGAAAGAATTGGAGTTTTAAAAGTATGCTCTCTCACTCAGGGTCTGAACCAGGATCCTAGAGATAGAGTTCCAATGAGAACTACAGTACAAGTCTCTCTCTCTCTCAATTCCAGGACTAGACAATACTGGCCCCACTCACTTCTTTCTTAATCCCTTCCTGTCTGGACTACTCTCCCACTCCCTTTATTTCTGATATTTTCCCTCCTTTCCTCCAACCAATTCGGTTTGAGATTTCTACAAATTAACAGCCACTAACATAAACTGAATCAGGCCCTTCTCTTCTATGTTTCACCCCTATTTCGTCTAACACCTTAGTGACTGCGGGTTAACTAACACTATCATATCATACCCTTACTTTTCAAGTCCTATCCAAAGTTGTAGATAATCATCAGTGAACTGAATGGTCATTTAGTGGAAATAAGGTGCTATGAAAACAAGAAAATAAACAAATAAACTCACTTGCGAAGAACAAGATGATCTGGTTTTCCCCAAGTGAAAGGCTCAGTTGACTTGTCAACATGTGGAGAATAGTAAGCAGATATAACTGTTTCACTTGGAAAAGAAGATGGAATATGCCAATTCTTGCTAACATTTCTCTATTAAGAAAAAAGACAGACAACAGGTAAGAAACAAACATGATACAATAAGTGCAAAGTTTTCCTTCACTATGAGACTCGAAAGCACATAAAGCAGGAAATCAGTTACATGCTTATCCAAGAAAGTTTGCTTTATATCTTGGATGTAATCCGGCGACTTGTTTTGCTCCTGAGCATGGGAGATGTTCTGATCTGATGCAGACTCACTATTTTTCTTTCTGGTATTGGATCCACTTTTTGCATCCAACCTTCCAAGGATGGTAGGATCTGGTGACTCAACCCACTGCCGGAACTTTAGAAGGCCATCTTCCTCAGGGAATGCATTTACAACCTCAATAGCATTAACAATGCCAATCCCACTACATTAGCATACAACACAAAAAGATCTAGTCAAGTTCATACATGTGGAACATGTATATAAGCATACCAATGAATCCTACTACAAAAAGAAAAGTCAGATATAGACATTTAGCAACATCTCCATGCAGAAAGGCATTGCGTCACTAGCCATAACTATACACTAGAACAAAGAAAATCTTGTCACACCTTACACCTTCAGTATAATCACTCCCAAGAAGTAGCGCCATGCGTATTAATTTCTCTCTGCTCAATCCAAGCTCCTTCTCAATGTCCTGAAGTAGTGATAAAGAAAAGCATGAAAATGAGAAATTTTCAAAATCGATATTTATTAACGGCCACAGCCTTTAACAGATATAGACCTCCATGAAGTATGTCTCCACATATTTGCGGTCATCAAATATATTCTTGTATACGCTACGTGCCCCAAATAAAAGGACATCAGAGTCATCAGTCACAACACCATCAACGAGTTTCGCGAGCTCCAAGTAAGCACACTGCGCTTCAGCTTCCATTGGAGCAATAATGTATGGCAAGCCAAACATTTGCAGCAGTTCCTACAGAGATCAGATGCATGGGAAACATAAGGGATCAAAATACTTAGAAGGTATGGAAAATCACTGATCAAGGGGTATACATATATAGAACGAGAAAGTAGAATGATGCCTGACATGAGAATGAAAAGCAATGTCCATCAACAACCGTTGCTTAATACAAAAGCCTTGAAAACGAGTTCAAGGGGTAATAATAATAATAATAATAATAATAATAATAAAGAATATGAAATTCAGCATTGAGGTTCATGACTTAATCAAATTAGAAGGATGAGCTATAATTGTTTTAAAACAGTTAAATGTAAAAGAATACGTTGTGTATTGATCTGTGTCAAGGAGTTACAATATATAGAGACCCTAATGGGCTTAAGTGTAAGGCCCAAACCTAATCCAAACCTAATCCTAATACAGTCAGAATACAGTCAGACTATTTACGGATAAGACAGAATCCAATCATATCTAATCAAATCTAATCATATCATATCTAATATTCTAACACTCCCCCTCAAGCTGGTGCGTATATATTATGAGCACCAAGCTTGTTACAAATGTATTCAACCCGAGGACCTCTAAGAGCTTTAGTGAAAACATCTGCTAGTTGATTAGACGAGTTGACAAAAGCTGTCTTGATTTCTCCTGACTGAATCTTTTCCCGAATGAAGTGACAATCAATCTCTATATGTTTGGTCCTCTCATGAAAAACAGGATTAGAGGATATATGTAGCCCAGCTTGATTATCACAGATGAGTGTCATGGGTTGTTTCTGTTCACAAAGATGAAGCTCCTGAATCAACTGCTTTAACCAGATCAACTCACAGGTAGTATTTGCCATTGCACGATACTCAGCTTCTGCACTAGATCGGGAAACAACAGGTTGTTTCTTGCTTTTCCATGAGATTAAGTTTCCTCCGAAGAAGACACAATAACCAGAAGTAGAGCGTCTGTCCGAGGGTGATCCTGCCCAATCGGCATCTGAGTAACCACAAATTTCTGTATTTCCCTGATCCGAATACAACAAACTTTTTCCTGGTGCTCCTTTGATGTATCGGAGGATCCTCACAGCAGCATCCCAATGTGAATCACAAGGGGAATCAAGGAACTGACTGGCCGTACTGACAGCGAAAGAAATATCTGGCCTAGTCACAGTAAGATAATTGAGCTTCCCAATTAGCCTCCGATAATGTCCAGGATCAGATAACGGCTCCCCCTGTCCGGGTAATAACTTGACATTAGGATCCATAGGTGTATCAACTGGTTTACTCCCCAACATACCAGTTTCTTCTAGGATATCCAAGGCATATTTCCTTTGACAGATAGAAATGCCCTGTCTTGATTGCGCCACCTCAATTCCCAAGAAGTAACGCAGCTTCCCAAGGTCCTTTGTTTGAAATGTACTAAACAAATGTTGTTTTAACTGACGAATTTCGTCTTGATCACTTCCGGTGAGAATGATGTCGTCAACATAGACTAACAAATAGATACACTTATCAGGAGATGTAATCCTATAAAACACAGAATGGTCAACTTTACTGCGGATTAAGCCAAACGCCTGAACAGCAAAACTGAAACGACTGAACCATGCTCGAGGAGACTGCTTGAGACCATATAAGGATTTTCGAAGACGACACACCTTTCCAGACTCCCCCTGAGCAACAAAACCAGGTGGTTGCTCCATGTAAACTTCTTCTTGTAAATCACCATGAAGAAAGGCATTTTTGATGTCAAGTTGAAGGAGTGGCCAGTGACGAACAGCAGCAAGGGCAAGAAAGAGGCGGACTGACGCCATCTTAGCGACCGGAGAAAATGTATCGCTATAATCAAGGCCAAAGATTTGAGTAAAACCCTTGGCAACTAAACGTGCCTTGAGACGATCAATATGGCCATCAGGTCCAACTTTCACAGTAAAAACCCAGCGACAACCAACTATAGACTTCTCTGGAGGAGCAGAAACAAGGTCCCAAGTGCCATTGGAATGAAGTGCAGTCATCTCATCAAGCATTGCTTGGCGCCACCCTGGATGGGAAAGTGCTTCACCTGTGGTCTTAGGAATAGAAATAGAAGAAAGACTAGAAACAAAGGTGAAATGAGGTGAAGAAAGACGGTCATAACTCAAAAAGGTATAAAGAGGATAAGGGTTACGCGTAGTACGTGTACCTTTTCTTTGAACAATGGGAAGAGTCTCTGATGAAGGATCCGGAGGGGAAGAAGCAACAGCAGTGGGCGATGAGTCAGCAAGAGTCGAGTCGACAGGAGGCACAGTTTTGCGACGCTGATAGGTGAGAAGTGGACGGTCCTCAGGTATAGAAGCAATAGGTTGCTCATCTGGAATAGAAGCACCTGCAGCTGGCAAAGACAAGTCAAGAAAAGGGACAGGAAGTACATGATCAACTTGTGACATCTGAGATGGGATAGAATTAAAGGGTTTTTGATCAAGAAAAGTGACATCAGCGGAAACTAAGTAACGCTTAAGGTCGGGAGAATAACAACGATAACCCTTTTGAAGACGAGAATAACCAAGAAAGATACACTGAAAGGCTTTGGATGTTAACTTATCCTTACCAGGAGTGAGATCATGAACAAAACAAGTACAACCAAAAACATGTGGAGTTAGAGGATAAAGAGGAACATCTGGAAGCAATAGATTATGAGGAATGTCATTGTGGAGCACAGATGAAGGCATGCGATTGATGAGAAAACAAGAGATGAGTACAGCATCTGCCCAGAAGTGAAGAGGAACCTGCATATGAATAAGAAGGGTACGAGCAGTTTCAATGAGATGTCTGTTTTTACGTTCAGCCACCCCATTTTGTTGTGGAGTGTGAGGACAAGTAGTTTGATGTAAAGTACCTTGTGTGGCCAAGAAATTAGAAAAATCAATAGAAACATATTCCTTAGCATTATCACTACGTAGAATACGAATAGAAACACCAAATTGAGTATGGATCTCAGTAGAAAACTTTTTATAAATGGAAAATAACTCAGAACGATTTTTCATTAAATAGGTCCAAGTGCAACGGGAAAAATCATCAATAAAGGTAACGAAATACCGAAAACCTAAGACAGACAAGGTACGACTTGGACCCCAGATATCTGAATGAACAAGAGAGAAAGGGGCATCAGCTCGTTTATTGACTCGACTGGCAAAAGAGGAGCGTGTATGCTTCCCTTGTTGACATGACACACAATCTAAAGACTGAAGACCGGACAAAAGAGGAACCATTTTCTGCAACTTTGAAAGACTTGGATGACCAAGGCGACTGTGGATAAGTTGTGGAGATTCTGTGAGAGAGCATGCTACTGAAGGACGAGGCACATCCAGATAATAAAGCCCCCGTGACTCACGACCCACTCCAATCATTTTCCCCGTACCCGGATCCTGCACAGAAACAGAATGGTTAGAGAAAGTAACGGTGCAAGTGAGGGAGTGGATCAACTTACTAATAGAAATTAAGTTATAAGGGATGTCAGGAATGTAATAGACAGATGTCAGGGCCAAGGTAGAGGTCGGACGAGCTTGTCCAATCCCACAAACTGGGGCTTTGGTTCCATCCGCAAGGGTAAAAGACGGTAAATGATCAGAATAAGTAAGAGATGTAAAGAGTTCCTTATTACCACAGAGATGATCGGTAGCACCGGAGTCAAATATCCAAGTGCCAAGTGATGTAGAATGAGAAACACAAGCAACGGGATTACCAGTATAAGGGTGAGACTGAGGAGAAGCCTTCCTGAGAGGGGTTTGGAGTGCAGCACAGTCCGAACCTGAACCAAATGATGCTTTGTCTGACTGAGCTATATTTGCAACAATAGAAGGAGAGTTAACCTCCGAGAGATCAGGAGATGCTGCTGCCATTTAAAGATAAAATATAAAAGCCGTAAACGAAGGCAAACGATATCCAATCAAGAAGAACCACGCGTCTAAGGTCAGACCCACAGAGAAACAATCACAGATCCAGAAAGAGGAGGAGAAGGCGAGCTTCTCTGTCCAAGACCGGCCGGAAAAAGCCGCCGGAATAGTGCTCACGCGCCGGCAGAAGGTGGCGCGTGAAGCCCACGCGCAGTGAAGACAGGTGGCGCGTGACGGCGCGTGGGAGATGCGTTGCTGATCGGACCACCACAGACCTGGTCGCCGGGAAGAAAGGGTCCTGATCGCGTGAAGTTTGGTCGGAAAAGTCGCCGGAAAAAGTCTCCGGTTGCCTGAACAGTGATTCTGACGGCGGGCGGTGGTTCCGGTGGCCGTCGGAGGTGCTGACGCGTTTGGAAAAATCACTCAGAGGCTGTTTACAGCCCTAGAAGGCTTGCCGGAAGGACGCACGGCAAGAAAGAGGACTCCTAAGCAGTGGGCTTAGGTTTTTAAAGCAAAAAAAAAAGGTTTCTGAGCGGAAGCGAGGGTTCCTAGAACGAAAGAGCTCTGATACCAAGTTAAATGTAAAAGAATACGTTGTGTATTGATCTGTGTCAAGGAGTTACAATATATAGAGACCTTAATGGGCTTAAGTGTAAGGCCCAAACCTAATCCAAACCTAATCCTAATACAGTCAGAATACAGTCAGACTATTTACGGATAAGACAGAATCCAATCATATCTAATCAAATCTAATCATATCATATCTAATATTCTAACAATCTAATATTCTAACAAAAACCTTCACAATAAAATGTAAATAAGAAGTAAGACGCCATGGCCAATTAATCATGTTTTCGACCAGCATTCAAGTCTAGACTACTCCATCAACTGGTGACGGAATAGCATGTAAGAAAGCCACTAAATTGGGAAGTTTAAGCTCTAATGCGATAGTGTGTGTGCGTGTAACAAACCATGCAAGTGTTCAATTAAATTAGACAGGGTTAAGTTTGTGGCACCTAGATATGCATTATCTGGCTTTGACGTTCTTAAGTGCAGAATAGATTTTGGCTTATATACTAATTATCATTAGTCTCACTAGTATGGCACATCTGCCTGGATAAAAATATTTGAGTGTTTGCTCAGGTGTTAAGTCTACCTCCATTGTTAGCACTAATTTTAAACAAAACCTTTCATAATAAACAATTGTCTTGAAATTCTAGTTTAATGTGTGCCAGTGACAATTCTATACATGTTTTTCTCTGAAACATAAGAGTTTCATCCTTGTTGTCCTGTCGATGCTGATTACTTGCCATTCTTGAAAACAACCAAAATTTACAAACAATTAGTGCTTCAAATTAAATGAGCACTACAAGAATGCAAAAATGCACATTATGCCTTGTTTTCAGACTCATGCTGTCCATTCCTTCAATCAAAATTAATTAAAAAGTTTAGCGGATGTATGTGTTGGTAGGGGAACACTAATTAGCAAAAAAGTATGAAACACCCAGCAGCAATTTTTCTGAAAAGTTAATAGTTAGCCATGATATGATATCATTCAAGTATGGACAAGCTTGTGTTCCGCACCTGACATTCTGTGAATAACTCACTGTTTACAGATTCTGCATTACGTTCAAGCTTCCTCTGTTCATTTTCTAGATTGATATATTCTTGACCAAGAATTTGCATTTCTTCCTCCAATCTAACCTCATCTACACGTGCAGGAAAATCTTCTATGATGTTCACTGCATCTTCGGCAAGGTTACTATTCCTTTCCTCACTTAAATTTCCACCATTGTCCACTCCAGGGAATTTTGGCTCGATATCAAGGTCTTCTGTTGATCCTTTCAAGGATGACCCCATCGAAAGAATAGCAGGCTTGGTATTGTCCGTAAAACTACTAATGGGTTCAGATCCATTAATATAGTTCTTTTTCTCTTCAGTCACACCAAGTAGATCAACTTTGGGCGAATTCTTACAATAGAAAGACACTTTACCATCATCATTACCATTATCCAATAACTGCTCTGAAACCATAGGGACCTCATCCTTCATTGTTACATTTGCATCTGAAGTTGAATCTTCAGAATGAGAGTGTTTATCCAGTCTGCAAGGTTTGTCAGTCAATATCTCCGTGTTATTGGAACTAAACGTCGCAGATGAATTTGACTGACTTCCATGAAAATGGAATGTTTGTGAGTTATTCCCAGCCACATAATCATGTTTTTTATCCCCATCAACAATTTCATGTAACTCATTTTGTTCAGTATCATCTTCCCTATTCGAAGTGGAACCACCCAGAATATTTTTATTTTTCAGGAGTTCAACATTATCATTTAAATCCATTGGGCCAGAACAACACAGATTATCAGCATGTTCTAATCCATGATCCAATTTGTTCTCATATGCATTTGAACGCTCATCTATAGATTCTATAGATGACATGCATTTAATTTTCCCATTCCCTGTACTCTCAAGACTTCTCCTTATTGCCTCCTGAAAATCAGACTCCTCCTCCAAGCACCCTCGAGATGCTGATTTTCCTGAATCACCTTGACACAATAAGGTGCTTTTAGTGCCATCACAATCTCCTTCCTCCCATTCTACTTCACTTTCATTATTATTATTATCCTCATCTGCAACAGAAGACTGCAATTCCACCTTAAAATGTCCAGGAAAAATTATATTCTTACCTTCAACAGTTCCTTCTTCCCAATCACAATCTGAATCAGAATCAGAAGGCTGTTCTTTTGCTGCACTATCATCACCAAGATAGATTGCCACTGAATTTCCTCCCACTAAACTGGAAAATATATCATCCTCACCATTTACAAACTTATTCTTGCAATCAAATTCAAAGGATATCGGTATAGAAGTATCCCTGTCAAGCATTGATTGCTCATTTTGCGCACGCTCTTTAACCAAGTCAACATTCACCTCTCGTGATTTACCAACAAGCTGGTTCCCATAACTTTCTGATGAACCATTATTCTTTGCATTTAGCACGGTTCCAATATTAGCAGCCTTGTTCGCATATGATCTTTCCTGCTCAATTTCCTTCATCAAGTCCAAATTCCTTTGTATATCACGGGTCATACGCATTCCCATAGCTCTCATTCTACTAACTCGAAGTCGACCGCTCTCATCTAGATATGTCTGAATACTTTCATCAACAGGCTCACTAGGTTGATTGCAATTCAATCCACTTGAAGTATTAGAATCATTGCCTGCTGTAATGCTATTTGCAAAATTCCGTGAAGGATGTGTTCCTCGTTCTTTTTGTTGTGTATTTTCAGTTTTCTCTAATCTGGTAGAGGTAAGTTCTCTGCCATATTGATGAATGCAAATAAGGAAGTTGTCAACATTAAAAACCCACCAGACATCATATGCAATATGCAGGAAAATCACCCAGCTAAGCCAATATTTATTAGGACTGGCATCTTATTAATCAATAGCCCAAAATCATTGAAAATAAGATTACTTACTGTTTGTCACCAGTAAAAGATGACGAGAATATATACTCTCTGTTGGCTTCAGATGCAATCCGCGAAGTCTGTACACCACCAACTCCTCTGCCAGCAGCAGCTTTCTGCACTTGATCTATCTCCCGTCGGAAAGCAACAGTTTTAAGGTAAGCTTGTATTTGTAGCTCAGAGAATTTTGCAGGATCCTGAAAGAAGCATATCAGATGAAATACATTATTCACATAAAAGTACAGTGCCCGATCACTTATTTGTAGTGAGGAAAAGTAATTTTAATACCAAAATGAATCAAAGAAACAAGAGAGAGAGAGAGCAAACAGTAGTATTAGATAGTAAACAGAGAAAGCAAATTATTAATGCCATCAAGCATCAGCATAGCACCAAACCAAATCACTAAAAGAACATGAAGATAATTAACCATTAAAAACTACAAATGAAGGTCGAAGACTGCTTAAATGCTGCAGTAATTACAGGTGAAATTTTATGAGATACATGCCATCGACTTAGAGAAATATATAAATGTTCACAGTAAACCGACCATCACAAAGCATCCACTACACCCTAATACAGCAAGGAACCAGGCCATCAGCTTTGCATTAAAAGTTTAACCAGGACATACTCAAAATCACAGGCTTCAGTTTGCCACAACCACCAGAATTGAATAATATGAATATTCTTACAACCTCCTAGTGCAACATCCTCAAGTAGCAAATGATCAGTAAGATCACTTATGTCTGCTAACACACCAGGGTCTAGATTCGAGTTAAAGCTGTAAGAAAGCAGCAACTTCCCTATTTTCTAATTTCTAGTAAAAGCGTGAGTTCTCTATCCAAAGTTCTACCCTCATGTTTCCTTTATAAGTTCAGAAGAAAATTATTAAAAATAATTCCTTCTATGCCACTTTTAAAATTGCAAATGGAAGAGCATGAAAACCCAAAAAGTACTACCACTTTTGGTTATTTATGCCCAGCAGTGTGATTATTTTATTTGCTTCAAAATCAACAGAATTCTCAATATACAAGTCTCATAAATACCAGCACTCCATTCCAACAGCGAAAGAAATAATTACAGTACATTTTGCCTCCAAAATCTACTAATATGTCAACATTATACAATATTATTCATGATAACTGTAAAGAACCAATTCAACCCAAAAACTTAAGTTGTTGGATGAGGCTACATCAATGGTTTTATATATCTCAACACGCCCCCTCACACGAGAGCCCACTGGGCTTGAAGGGTGGACAATGCACAGACCCACCTACCTGTGCGAAGAAAGAAATTCCACTAGAAAGAAAGTGGGGGCGGTGAGGATCGAATCCGGTACACCGAGGCTCTGATACCATGTAAAGAACCAATTCAACCCAAAAGCTTAAGTTGTTGGGTGAGGCTACATCAATGGTTTTATATATCTCAACAATAACTGCAATACTTAATTTGGTACATGTTTTACATTGCAACATATCAAAATTACATATGAATTCTTTTCACCAACCTTCTTGACTTTCTGATACTTATGTCTGTTCTCTGCAATCAATCGCTCTCTCATCTGCAAAATAATTTTTCAATGACTGACATCAGAATAAACTAAGGTACTTGAGCTAGAAAATACTTTACGAACACAAATACCTGAACAAGGAGATCCAGTTGCATTGATGGAGGCAAAGAGGCTAGAACAGCTGGATCAACTTCACCGTGCATTGCTGGCTGCAAAGGAAAGTGAAAATCACATTTTTTAGTTTGGAGTCAGAGAAGCACAGATTAATATTAAAATGAACTTTGGAATCATTGTAGCTTTCTAAGTAAAGATTACCAAATTGAAAAATGACCAAGAGGTGTTGTCCAAACCCTAAGCACAAACCAGATGAAATAACTCAAAGACTCACATTTCTAGAAATTTAAACTGACCAGTATCATCTCTTCATCTTCGTCATAGTCACCATCCTCTTCCTCGATGGTTGAAGCCCCAAGAGAAGTTGATGCATTATTTACTAACATCACATTTTCCTCCACAGCAATAGACGCAGCTAACCTAATAGACTCATAAAAACACATAAACCTGATAACCAAGTGAAAACACTACAACTTCAAAATTAACTTTCAATGCCACTTACATTTCATCAATTTTATCTTGATTGTCACAACTTGAGCTACACCCTATCACATCAGTTTCAGAGAACAGAATCCCCTTACCCTTGCCCAGATCATTGACCTCATGCTGTTTCTGGTTGTCAACTTCTTTCATTAGTTCTTCTGCTTTCTTTCCTTTAAGCTGTTATCAAACAATAAACACAAACATTTTACTTTTGAACCAAATTAAAGCCAATATATCATATGACAGATGAGTTGTAAGAATAACTCATAATGGTGTTTTCAAGAAAATATTATATAAACAATGAGGGAATAAATTATATGGTGTTATATTCTTGAAAATGTTTTATCTGATCCTTCATTGCTTGTCATTCAGTATGTTTATTAAAAGAAAGAGAAAAAAGAAGCTAATTATAATACTAAGATTGAGAAATATGATAAAATACATGACAAAAGACAAGATCATCTATAGCATATGTAAAATCTGACCTGCGCAAGAATATCAAGTTGCATTGACTGTGGCAAAGCAGCTAACACAGCTATATCAACTTCCGTGTTGACTGATGACTGAGGAGAAAAAGATATATATGTAGCAACAAGTGAAAAAAGGTTCAACAAATTCAGGAGCATTAACAGAAAGTATTAGGATGTAATAACTACAAAGAAAATCAAATACTGCCTTATTCCCCACAATGACTCTATGGTTACATTCTCAGAAAGGTGTAAGTTACAATTAAGAAACATATAGTAACAGTATACACAAAAATAATAGAAAAATCATATTGTAATGTCTAATTGAAATCATTCCATCTGTCAACATTTGCAAATTTACCAGTATCATTTCTTCATCCGCACCACATTCCTCCTCTATAGGCCTAATAAGAGTAGACTCCACTCCTTTTCTGGCCAGTCTTCCTTTTTCCTCTGCAGCTATAGATGCTGCCAGCCTAAATTAACTCATCCAAACATTATAGACAAGTTATTAACCATATTCAAGATCAAATGTAATAAAAAATGTTTCATGCAACTTATATGTAAGATACTCCATGGCTTTCTGCTCCTTCAATTGGGATAAATATATAGGTGGATTACATTTCATCAAGCTCCTCCTGGTTGCAACTTGTCAATATTGTTGCCTGCGATAAACTTGGGTTCTCCTTAGCTGCAGGCCTAATAAATAATACAAATAATGAAGCAAGCATAAGTCTGATAGAAGACGACTTCTAAGATTTACAACAGAATATGCGGATTACATTTCATCTAGCTCTTTCACATTACTTCTTCCTATATCACTACCAACAAAGTCCTTCTGATCAGATTTTTTCTGACCCTCAGTATCATTCTTCTGCTTCAGCCTCTGATTCTTAATATCACTAGCCACTTCCTTCAACTTCAATACCTTTAACTGTCAAAAAGAAAATTAAAAATTAAAAACAAAAGTTAAAATAGCAGAAGAATACATGTAACTAATAAAATAGATTATATACACCATCTTAATGTAGTTCACGTGCTACATCTGCTCAGCCATTAGTAAAAATGGAACCACAGTTCTCTGTTTAGTAGTAAAGTAAGTAAACAGAAAGGAAGATTCAAATCCACCATCCTCAGATATCCGTGACAAAATCACGAATATTATACAATCCAACATTAAAGTTTATTGTAATTAAATTCTTTACAATTTGCAAATGGTATATAGAATTGAGCACAAATAGCCCTCTTAATAACAGAATCAACCCATATTTCCACCCAACCCATTACTATAAACACAACATGAAAGTGAGCAAGTGACAGAGAAACATAACAACAAATAGTACAGATATGGATAATCATTTAGGGCCTGTTTAGTATGATGTATACAGCTTGATATATAAGCTTAAACTATGCATTATGACATTTTTAGTTGTTTGGTGTGACCATCGTATAGTATAAGTTTATACAGTAGGATCTCTTTATACATCAAAATGATGTATAACTTAATCAGGCCTGATAAAGGCTTGATATATTAATATATTAAAATTATTGAATTTTTAAAATATTGGAGATTTTTATTTTTTTAAAAAATTAACATATTTTTTGGACACACTGATTAACAGATTTCTATAAAAATTAATATATGATATATTTGCAAGAATTATACAAATTCATTATTAAAAGGTATTTTTGTCAAAAATATTTTTTTTATCCTATCTAGTATTATTGAGTGCATTGCCAAATATTGGATGATATTATCTTATACAATATATTATCTTATACAATATCATGTCAAACGCTGAATAGTATTAAAATTTAATCAGGTCTTATACAAGGCCTTATTCTATCGGGTCATATACTGTCAGGCATTTTCCTATACTATGTACCAAACACGCGGGTGTTTGAGAAAGCGGAAAATTGTGAGGAGAGTGAAAAATAGAGTGCGATGAAAGTCTTTCAACTGCCACTCATCGCTGGGGTGGTAAAGGGTGGAAAATCACTTGCAACTCATATTCATACTGCAGAAATACCGAAAATCGTAAGCTAAAGTGTAAACAAATTGCACTCAACTTTCAACCGTCTTACATTTTTCTACTACGAAGCAAATGTCAAGTAATTTTTCCTTCTATTGGAACTCTACGATCAATTACGAAGAAATGCACCAAGCCAAATAAAGAAGCTATGAAATTGGGTAAAAAAAAAAACTAATCATGGCTTCAATGGTACAGAACAAAAAGCAAAAAGTCTTACATGATTGAGTAGCAATTTCTCTGCAGTCTTGCGTACTTTGGCTTGTGCGTTCTCGCGCTGCCTGCGGCGTGCGATCACGGTGCGGCGCTTGAGGGCTGGGGTTCCGCCGTCGAAGACGAAGACTGGCTTGGTCCGGAGGAACAAGAGCTTGCAAATCCGACGGAAGAACCCGAGCAGATGAGCGTTGCGAACCATTTCACCCTTCTCGTCACGCATCGCCTTCAGAAACTGCACCATCCATATGCTCGCGTCTGAAAAGAAGAAGAAAAAAATTCACGGTATTACTTATTTATTTATTTATTTATTTAATGCGATTAATGGGGAAAAAAGGTGAAATGGTTGAAGGAATACCGATGGCGAGTGTTTTTCCGGCGAGAGTCTCGACGGAGACGCGGCGACCGACGGGGGCGAGTAATTCCCATAGACCGTGGACTCCCATTGTCTTGCTTTTGCTACGGAGTGCGGGCTTCTGCCTCAATTGCCTTCGCCTGTTTTGTTATGCCGCCAATCGTCCTGGCCTGCCAATAAGTCTATGGTTTATGATTTGAGTCGGTACTGTGCTAAACGACCTTGTTTCGATCCCACGTTTTTTTTTTTTCAAGGTAATAGAATAAATTTTTTTATTTAAATTAAAAAAAAAACATTCACTTTCACTCTCTCGTTATTTTCATTTTCTGTGTTTATCTCACTCTTAAAATGACATAATTTATGTCATTTAAAATGACAAACATCAAGCCCATAAATATATGAGTATCAAGAAATTCTAACCTTAAGCTATTTGACTCTAGGTTTTCTGGATTCTTCTCACTCACCGGATCCGATTAGGCTTTAAGTGAAAGAATATAAAGCTAACAATAAACCGGTAGTTACTGCATTACACCAGCCAAAACTAATGTAAGAAACAATACAAAGCAATGTAAGAAACAATACAATGTGGAGATTAGGATTATTAAGCATATAAACATATTGATTATTTATTGTGCTTTGAAATTTTTAGCATTTTTGGGGTATTTTTAATAAATTATTTTCAGGATTTTAGTCATTTAAGATTGCTGGGTTATCGAGTGGGATTTGCCTATTTAAGGATTGCTAAATACTAAGCAATATATATTTGACTATTAAGTACCTTATATTTGAGAGGACAAGCCTGGAATTCAAGAACGTTGTATTTAAATGATCTGATTTTTTTTCACATAAACTCTCAAAAAACTTCAAAATATGACATATAATATTATCTTATTAAAAGACAGAAGTATTAATGGACTAAGGAACCAAAAGCATTTACATGTTACAAGGTGCTTCTATTTTATGTCATGTTCCATACAGTAATGATATTCTAAATCTGTAATCATGTGGCTGTGTTTCACTGACTCTAACATGATACTTAGCTAGCTGTCATCATCAACATTCAACATGTGCTCCCTTTTAGAATTTCTAAGAAGAGGAACAGCATCATAGTGGCCAATATTCCTCTCTCAATAAGCAAATGGTTCTCTACAACTGAGCAATACTTGCAAGACCTCCTTCATTGAAGGTCTACTAGCAAGAAGTGTTGAAGTACACATGACCCCCAGTTTGAAAACGTTACACATTTCATCCAAGTAACTTGGTTCCGTGACATCATTGTCTAGTAGCTCTTCTATATTGCTTCTTTCATGAATGTGGCGCCAAGCCCACCCTGCAAGAGATAAGTGCTCATCACCATAATTAGCTTGTTTACCAGTTGTCAATTCCAATAGGATAACTCCAAAGCTGAAGACATCAATCTTTTCACTGACTCGAGTTGTTTGAACATATTCTGCAATGCAAATGTGACAAAACAAATTCAGATTAAACTTATGCCAATGAAAAATAGATAAATTGAATTTAACTAAGAAATTTATTTGTTAGTAATAGATGGCAAACTTGGAGTAGTGCTAAAACTGTTTCTTTGTGATTGAAAAATTATGGGGTTTGACTCCGTAAAATAACCTATTTGCAAATATGCAAGAATAAGACTGTGTATAAGGATTGTTCTCATCCCACCCTCTCATATCGGGGTTTAAGAGATTGATTTGTTTTTAATATATTTGTTTGTAAGGAAACAAAAATAAGATTGAAATGTCATTCACCTGGAGCCATATAGCCAAATGAACCAATCAGAGTTGACATGGTGGCAAGTTCCCCTGGTTTGATTAACATCCTAGCCAGACCAAAATCAACAACTTTTGCATTGAATTGAGAATCCAAGAGAATGTTACTTGTTTTCACATCTCTATGAACAACAGGTGGTGAAACATCATGATGCATGTAGCACAAACCTTGGGCAGCTCCAATGGCTATATGCAATCTCTTTGGCCAATCAAGGACAAAATGGTGAACTGAACCTGACACAGATGATGGCTTGCTTTTCTTGGGCAGCCACCCATCAAGGCTATGGTTTTCCAAATACTCATAGACAAGGAGCATAGAATCGTTATTGGAGATACAGCACAATAACTTCACAATGTTATTATGACGAATGTTGCTCAATATTCTAACTTCAGTATGAAATGAGCTCTCAGGATTCTTGTCTAACCTTTTGTTTTCCCAAATCTTTTTCACAGCAACATAGCCTAAACCATCAACAGCAACACGGTACACAGTACCATAACCACCACTGCCAATAATATTATTTTCTGTCATTTTTGACACTGTTAGATTCAGTGAAATTCAGCCTTTGAAAGGAAATGAGCTTCCATGAGTTATCCAGTGCTTGCTTTCTTCTGCAAAGCCTGAAAATAAACAGTGATGTCAATAAAGCCAATAAGCAGGTCACTAGCACCAGGCTTATAATCAAAGCAAGAGACCAAGATGAATCCTTGCTTGGACTTTGAGGGCTAGAACACCAAAGAACCAATGAAGAATGATAATTTTCAACCTATTGGTCAAACCCAAGAGCAAGAACCCAAGAGCAAGAACGAGAAAATGCTTATAATTTTAGATATGTGAAAAGTTGTTACTTAGTAATTTGAATGTTTGTCAAAAATTATATTATGTTTTACTTTCAAAATTTGAATAGGTGGTAATTATAACATTTTCTTTTTTTATTGACTCTTGTAATTTTGAATATTTGTTAAAAATTCATATGATTCTGTAAAATCTTATAAATTCATATTGTCCTTCAAATCTTATAAATTCTATTAAAATCCTTTAAAATCCAATCTCATGAAATCTTGATTGTAAGAGAAGTTTTTTAAAAAAGTTTTTAAAGTCCTTAAAATTCTAAATAATCTTTTAAAATCTATAAGATTTTTTGTCTCAAAAAAATATTTTAAAATCCTAATTCAATACACCTCCTAAAAATCAAATAAATAAATGGATTAAAAATTTTGTATGAAATCATTGCACGTATATTTCTTTAATTTTTGTTGGTAATTTCTAAAAAGAAAAAGAGGGGCTAGTTAAAAAATGCACAGCACGGATTTTTTATTATGATCCCAGTGTACAATTTTTGGGATGCTCCTTTTCCAGTAGAGAAATTTTTTTCTTATATTTATAGGGACAGGATCCGTTTACAAACTTTTTTGAATTTTTTTACAAATTATACTATATTCTTCCGGGAGAACATAGTGTATTTTGTAAAAGTTTGTATTTTTCCGAGAGAATATAGTGTAATTTGTAAGAGTTTGTAAACAAAAAAAAATTTATAAATATAATATATCCCATATTTATATCCCTATCTTCTTTTTAAATTACCACTCATTTCTTTTTTTCTTTCTTTTTTTTGGTCAAAGAACACCGAGGCCCAGTCCACCGGCACATATATTTATTGGTGGAACGAATTTTAGGTCTTCACTGCTTCCCCAAACCTTTTTTCTTCTCCCTCTCTCCCCACTTTTTTCTCTCACGGCGCATGTTAGCATATTCTAGTCCCAAAGGAAAAGCGCGTGAACTCTCAGCGTCTGAGGCGTCCTCCTCTTGCAACCTTAGGGGACAAACTCTCTCTTTCTCGTTGTCTCCGCTTCGTTCGTGGCTCAGCTTCCCTTCGATTCACCGACATTCTTGTCCCTTGTTTCGGATCCACCTTCGTTTCGATCAAATCTGTAAGCACAGCCAAGAACTCTCGGTCCCGACATGCATCTGTTTTGAATTAATTGATCTCCTGTTCTGATTATCTGAATGATATTTGATTGTTTTTATTTAATTTTCTTATTGGAAATCGAAACTTTTTTAATTTTGGAAATTACCCTTTTGATAGATTTTAAATGGGGATTTGGGGTAGTAGGAAGTTTTTATTTTTATTTTTTTTTCTTGATAAATGCCAAAATCTGAACAAGGAACCTTTTCGATCTGCTGTATTTAGTGTTATGAATAAATAAATGTAAAAGGTTAGTGTAATCAAGTTCAATTTTCTTTCTTTCTTTCTTTCCTTTTTTTTGAATAGATTGAACCAAATCAACGGTGTTTGCTACCTATGTGTCGATCGTTGGTTTGGAGTGTTTTTTATTTTTTATTTTTTTTGGTGATTTTATTTACTTATTCATGTTCCAAAAAGAAAGAGATGGTATTTTAGTATTAATTGTGGTCTTAACTATCTCATGCTAAGCTTACTGTGAAACAGAAAATTAGAGGAATTATATATCAGCTTCTTTTAGTACTTTTCATGGTTATTTTTCTTTTTTAATGAAATTTTGTTGTTTTATTGTTATTTTGGTTCTCAGTATTACTATGATGAGAAGAGATCAAGTGTCTGCGCGTAAGGAGCCGCCATCCTTGGTTGACCTTTGTGTTCAGAAAGTGATTGATAAAATAAGGTACCTTGGAAATGTTGGTTCTGTTGATAATCATCTGCTTGAGCGAATCTTGCCCCATTGCACACTTGACCAGTTGATGCATGTGGAGAAGGCCAGTGAAGTAAGATGGACTTTGTTGCTTTTGTTAACTATGAATGAAGTTAGAACAAGACTAAAATGGTTACCTTATTTGCTTGATGTGCTTTTGCAGGGAAGTGATCTGAGTCCTGTGACTGACAAATTGTGGAAAAAGTTCTTTGAAAAGCAGTTTGGCACAAATTGCACTAATGAAGTTATTCGGAGGATGAGAGAAAAAAAAGTGTCAATTAAATGGATGCAGTTGTATGAGGTAGTTTTTTTTTTTATTATTTGTTTGTTGTTTTCATTTTTGTTCTTTCTTTTAGACTCAGTTATATTTTAGATGAAAGGGAAGTATTAAATTTAATCTCTCTTTCTTTCTTTTTCCCCAAAAACAACATCAATTGTTAGTAGTGCTAACTAGGTAACATCCTTACAGGCTGTTAGAATTAAGTACATGTATAATGAATAGTATTAGCTGTTGATTAGTTCTAATTAAGTGATGATTACTGAACATATTATAACTATATTGTATGGACTGATTAGTCACATGGTTTTTCCTCACATCCTCTTCTAATTCTATCCAGGCAAAAGTAAAGGAAATGGC